GATATATATACATATACATAAATTTACCTTTACTTGGTTCTGAAGTGGAGCTTTCTATTAAAATTAAATTAAATTTTTATAATTATTATTTAATATCGCAAAAAATAATAATCACATTATCAAACAACAATATTAATAATGTTACCTGTATAAAAATTCCATACGAATGGCTGTATACCTAGCACATTTTGATTGTATTGACGATCTTTAACAAAAGTATTATCAACAGTAATATAATATTGTTGATCTGGTATGTTGAACGTGCTAGCAATAAAATTGAAACTTATAGTTTGATTATTATTTGATAGAGTGAAATAATCAGGTGATGTGATGGGTGATATTGTTTGACGCAGTATACTCGAAGAATGTTGATAATTAAATGGCAATAATGTTGTAATGTAAGAAGGTGTTGTTGTTGATGATGATGATGATGATGATGAGATGCTTGTTGAATTTATTTGCCAAATTGAAATATTACCATATGAGAACTTTACCGGAATAGTATAAGTTATATTCAATGTTGATGATGGTAGCGAAGATAAAGGTATGGTTGAATTTATTGTAGGAAAAGTTGAAGATATAAAAGAAGGTCCATAATCGCTAGTTTCAGGTATGCCTGAGTTACTACCACCACCTAAAATTGTACTATAATTTACAAAAGTTGAAGTTAATGTCCAACTATTATTATCATTATTAACTGTGGTTTCATTGACCACACCCCATAAAGTATTATTTGGCAGCACACCAATTACTCTTGTATAATCTAAACTTGGATAATTATTGGTAAAGTTCCAAACATCATAGGGTGTTCCATCATTACTAAAAATCAATCCATTAATTACAATATGATCCATTTCATTCAGTTCAGTCAATATTATATACCCTCCATAATATAACGCTTTGATATCCCAAACTATCAATCCATTTGTTAGATTTGTACTAAACTCTTTTTGTTCCAATTTTCCGGATGATACGAAAAGAATATCAATATAAACATTTCCGCTTATTCTCTCAACATAAATTATGCAACTGTAGCCTAACTTATAATAGGTTATTGAACATCTATAAATATTTAATCTTTTAATTGCCTCTACATTTTGAGAATAAATTAGAAACGGACCGGTTTCATTCCCATATGTGGACGGTGGGATGAAGGTGACATCGATTGTCCATGGAGGTGGGATGTCGGTTGTTGTTGATGTAGGATTAAATTTAGCCATTACTACTCCATATCCACCATCTTCAGTTGGAAATATTTGTGTAAAATTTGGACTAAATTCATTAATATTTGGTAATGCACCTGATGCTAATATCGGTGAACTTCCACTTACTACGTCACTTTAGGAAATATTAAGTTTGTTTTTTTTTTTTATTAAAATTACTTTATAATTAATCTTATATATAATAAATTATACATATGAAACTTACAAGGAATCGTATTTTGTCCATAAAAGTTGTTTATTTTCTTCAATAAAACATACCCATAAAAATCCACCATATTGTGAATCAATATTTGCAACAATATTACTATCTGTACAACTTTGATTATTAAACTTTATTGATCTAAAAGAAAATAATTCAAGCAAGAAAAGAAAAAAAATTGTGAGAAAAAGTGAATGTATTAAAAAACGAATGTATTTTTTGATTAAGTTAAATAATTAAACATCAATTAAAATTTTTCCTTCCCCAAATATTTTTCATACCCTAAATCATTACCATTCCAATCAAGGATTAAACCACAAGTTAAATTAACATCAGGAGGATTACAAAAGTATTTTACTAAAATTAATTTATTCGTTATTCCATAAATAACTATGCTATCTCTTATTATATATGTTGATGATGGTGGTAATACTTGATTTGACCTTATTTTTGAATTTATTGATGATGATTTTGATAATTTTGATGATGGTGA